TTCCAAGTCAGAAAATACAAAATAAAATTTAGATTTGCTATATTTAAACTATTAAAACTTCTAATACATTTTCACCATCAGTTTTTCATATCTGTAATTTGTAAAATGACAACATAAAAAAATTAAAAGGATGCCATTGGATCAAGATGGTAAATGTGATGACCACTGTTTGCCAGAGAATTAAGGCTGGTTGGTATCACCTGCTTCTAAAGAATTCTAACTAATTTAGTCAGCTACACATACTAACATCTGTAAGCAAATTTATTTCCTCTGGAAAACACACTGCCCTTCTATACTAAAACTTTCTAAATAAAATATATAGTTATATGATCACCTCATTAAAGCAGTAAGTCTTTTTTTTTTTTTTTTTCCCATGCATTTGGTTGTTACAGGGTCTCACTACACAGCTCGGAGTCGTGGTGATCCTCCTAGTTTCAGCCTCCCCAGCGCTGGGATTACAGGAATGAACCACTACGCCCGCCTGGGCTCTGGCCAGCTCAGTACACCTTGGGTGCAGGGCTGGCATGGCATGAGGTGCCAGGGATCAAACCGTGGTCCCTGCGCTGGCCTAAGCTTGCTTAAGCAGGGGCTTTAGTCCACTGAGCTATCTCACCGGCCCTAAAGCTGCAGGTCTTGAACAGGGATCTATGTGCAGTCATAGGAAGGGCTAAGTAAAGTGACAGCAAACCTTTAAGAGCATTCCATGATAACAAACACCTGGCCGTGGTATGTGAGCCACAGGCTGCCACTACTGGTCAATGCATGAAGTCTGTGCATGAGGTGCGAAGCAACTACAGTTAAAATTACTGCAGGGGAGCCAGGGAGATGGCTCAGTAGAATAAGTGCTTCCCTGGCAAGCGCAAGGGCCTGAGTTCAATCCCTGGTTCCACCAAAAAAAAAAAAAATTAAATTAAATAAAATTACTGTAGGAAACAAAACCTTTAGCAGATGTGGTGTGCGTACCTATAGTCCCAGCACTCAGGAGGCTGAGGCAGGAGGATCACTGTGAGTTCAAAGCCAGCCTGGGCTACATAGTAAGACCCTGTCTCAAAAAAATAAAAGCTAGGCATGGTAGTACACATCTGTAATCTCAGAAGCCAAGGCAGAAGGATCACTGGGAGTTAGAGACCAGCCTAAGCTACAAAGTAAGTTCAAGGCCAGCCTGACTGCATAGTGAAATCCTATCTCAAAAAGACAAAAAGGAAAAAAACCAAAACAAAACCTTTGTTTTTTTTTAGTATGTAAGTAGTTTAAGGTATTCTGGATAAGCACTAAATAAGGATGTTGGCTTGCATTTAAGGATGTGTTCACGAAAGTATTTCTAAACACTGGAATCATACTGGCCATAGTCCACTGATAACGGGTGCTTAAAAATTGAGATGGATGGTACAGAAGATTCCTATCTCCCATCTCAAAAGCAACAGAAAGAATTCGAAGTACGCATTCACGTGAAAGCAGGTTAAAGCACGTTACAGCGGGTTAACATTACTTCCCTGAATCCTGACTTAGTGGACAATTTAATGCCAATGAACTTGTTTGCCAAATCAACCATCACACCCAGGGAGAGGGACATTAAAAAAAAAAAAAAAAAAAAATTACTTCCCTGAGTGCATGCCGGACAATTCACCTAAGTTAACGCCACCACACATACTTGGCTGTTCAGGTTTTCTGGGTGGCTCTGCACCATGTTCTCCAGGATTTTCTACCTCAGTCTTACAGAGAAGAACTATCAAGTACATCTGTCCCTGGGGCACCTACCTATCTTCTTAGGTAATTACTGCCAAGGTCTCCAAGTGCCACCAAATGGTTTTCTTCTCTTGGAGAATGCTAACATATTCCCCTCGAGAGGTCCCTCCACTGTCAAATTCCACAATCTCCCTTAATATTCTAGTCAAAGTCTACCAATACTGCCTGCAAATATTTTCTCACACAGAGAGCAGAGCATGCTCACCACCGCCCTCGAGAAGTGCCACCAGTGAGTGCTCTCTCACTCCTGTCCCGTCCCAAGGCCAGGCAGGTGAGTCTCACTGGTCCTTCACAGCACCTTCCCCCCTTGAAACACTTTCAGTTTCTTACAACTTCCCTTCAATACTTTCCAAGTTTTCTTTTGCTCTTTTTTTTTTTTGCGGAATCGGGGATTGAACTCAGGCCCTTGCGCTTGCCAGGGAAGCGCTTATTCCACTGAGCCATTTCCCCGGCCCCTCTTTTGCTCTTTTAAGCAGTATGTTTTACTCAATATGCCAAAAACTAGTCATAATTAGATGCTAGTATTAAATAAAATGGTAAAATTAATTTGTTATTCCTATAATATTTGCTATTCTTATACCTTTAACTTCTTTGTATCCAAATGTTATTTTCTAATGTTAGGAAATTTTAAAAATATATTAAATAATTCCATTCTTCACACATACATAATATTCTTCATATATACTTCATATAGTAATATATTACAGTTAAGCACATTGTAAGAACACAGTAAATCCTACATAATAAATTTTCTATTACACCTAAGTTTGGCAGTAGAAATAGGAATATAAAAAAAAATAGTAATGACGTGTACACATTTCTCATCTAAGGCTTCTAAAAGCTCCTCCTCTCCCAAAAAAAGATGCCCAGGAAAGGATGAAAATGCCACAAGGTACGCTGAACAAGCAAGGACTAAGCAAGGCCTGGCAGTGCACACCTACAGGCCCAGAGTGCAGGAGGCTGAGGCAGGAGGATCAAAAGCTCTAAGCCAATTATGAGCCAATAACAAATGCTGGCAGGGTTTAGAGGAATAAAGAATCTTTCTCCACTGCTTGCGGAAGCATGGATTGGCACGATCCCTATGGACAGTCCTCAAAAACCTAAACTAGAGCTTCCATTTGCCCCGGCTACTCCCCTTCTGGTCTCCTCCAAAGAGTCCAAAGCATCACACCACAGAGATGCATGCATGCTCGTGCTTACAGCACCACAGTCTGCAACAGCTAAGCTTAGAAACAGGCCAAGTGCCATCAACCAATGAATGGATAAAGAAGACATGAAGGGTTTTTTTAATATTCTGGAGTACTACACTGCCATAAAGAAGGATAAACTTGAGGCATTTCTAGGTTAATGAATGCACCTGGAGACCACAGTCAATGGACATATGTTCAAATATTGTGCTGTTTCTCTGGTATGATAAACCAAAAGGGTAAATAAAGACAAAGATGTGTAACCGATATTGGGAAATAGAAAGAAAATGTTTGGGGCCAGGGAGATGGCTCAGTAGAATAAGCGCTTCCCTGGCAAGTGAAAGGGCCTGAATTCAATCCCTGGTTCCAAAAAAAAAAAAAAAAAAAAGGCAAAATGTTCAAATAGGAAGGGGAACGGGGAGGGGGGGCGGAATATAAGACAAGAAAATAAAAATGAAAGAATGCAAACAAAGTTCCTGTAAATAAAAAAGATAAAAGGGGAAAAGAGAAGAAATGAGGGTTTTTTTTTGTTTTGTTTTTTTTTTTGAGGAACCGGGGATTGAACTTGAGCCCTTGCACTTGCCAGGGAAGCACTTATTCCACTGAGCCATCTCCCTGGCCCCAGAAATGAGATATTTAATGTACAAATAAAATTTCCTATGATGAGTGTGAATATATCTAAAAGGTACCAAAAAATTAATTAGGAAAAAAAAGAAAAGAAAGGAAAGGGCCAGGGAGATAGCTCAGTGGTCTAAGCACCTGCCTGGCAAGCACAAGGGCCCAGGTTTGATCCTCAGTTACCACATGTCATGCAGGCCCCAGAATCCCCAGCACGCCATGTTAGCCACCAAATCTAGGTGTGGTTGTACACACCTGTAATCCTAATACTGGGGAGGCTGAGACAGGAGGATCACTACAAATCCAAGCTGCTAGAGAGACCTTGTACCAAATAAATAAATAAATAAATTTTTAAAATGAGAAAAAGAAAAGGAAAGTACAAAGCTTGCCTATATAACTTAGTACTGCCTTATTTCATATTGAAAAATAAAGAAAATACAAGAATGTAATTCAGGGTAAAGGTTTTACATTCAATCCTTATTACCCCATAAAGTTCCTTTTAAAGAGAAAACTGAAAATAAATAACTTTCATGGTTTCAAAGAAAAACTCTAACTTTGATAGTTGTCTGTAATTTTCCTTACCTCTGATTTTAAGACTGCATAGATGGCTTCAATTTCCTTTCTTCCAGAATTAGACAAATCTGTTATAAAAGAAACAGCACAGATTGATTATTTGATCAACACTGTATGAATAAGCAGGCAAATAGGATTTTTTCGGGGGTGGGGGGGTCAGTGGTTTGGACTTAAACCCGGGCTCATGTGTGCAAGGCAAATTACTCTACCACTGCACTGTACTCCCAGGCCTCAACAAGTATTGTAAGACGAGCATATTTCACTGAATTTAAATAGAACACTGGCTGATAGGAAATTCAGGTCCTCTATCTTTACTATTTATAAGTGTTAACATTTTTCTTGTAGGAAATTGGAGATTTTTATAAATTTCAGTTTTCACTTATACTGTAATTTTAAATGAAATCTGTTCAACGGGGGCTTAGGGCTTTATTTCTAACTTACTCAACACTCTCCAATAATGAAGGACCTATAAACAAAGAAGTAAAACAAAACACTTAAAGCAAAGAGAACACTTAAGACAACACAAACAGAATTCACTAAATATGGGGATAATATTGATCTGGTTTTATACATTTTCATGTAAAAGTAATGAGAGCCCAGCAGGGCCAAAATAGCACCGCTGATCCTGTCAGGAAATCACCATCCCAATGTGCAGGGTGGGGGGCGGCCCTGCTATTTTAATTTTAATTTTTGATTACTCAAAGAACTTTCACATTATAAAAAATACTTCTCTTAACTAACATTTAATTTAAAAACACACAAACAGCACAGTTGTAAATTACAGTGACACTCTTGTTTTTGTTTTTGTTTTTTTGGCAGAACTGGGGATTGAACTCAGGCCCTTGCACTTGCCAGGCAAGCACTTATTCTACTGAGCTATCTCTCCCGCCCAACACTCTTCTTGTTTTAAAAATCATCAGGTAGTGCTGCTTCTGCTACAGTTTGTACATCATGATTGAAACTCTGAAAGAACGCCAATTGCTACTCTGAAGAGGACAAAGTATCCTCTAACTGTTTAGGAAAGCAGCGGCAAAAGCTGCAGTGGTTTCAAGGAGAAATTTAAAGCGCATGCAGAACTGCTCCCCTGTCCTCTCTCACCCAACTTTATATATATAGCTATGTAGCTTTATATAGTTATATGGGCTGGACTTTCTAAGCAAAGGGGAGAGATTATGGATGTTATGGCAGCCAGGCAAATTCTGACTGTCTCAATAAGAGAAAAAATACCTACCATTTTTTATGTTCAACGTCTGCTGGTCACAGATCTAGACACTTTACACTCATCACTTCATTTAATGCTCTTCAACTCACAACTGGCACAATTACATCCCTCCCACCCCCCACCCGATTCCCACTTTCTAGCAGAAGAGGAAACTGTGCTCTTGAGAGGCTAATGCTGAATAACTTGCTGAAGATCTCCGTCATGCAATGCGTGGAAATGGAATTTCCAACCGTGTCTATCTAATTTAAAAGCCCAAGCTCCCAACCTTGACTAAACCAGCAAGGACAACGTTTGCTAGAATAGCAACCTTCTATATAATAAGCATAGATGATTTTCACGTTGTACCAACTACACTATTTTGGAGTTGCTTTCTTGTTCAATACATTGCTGGGACAAAGTAGATACTCTAACTTCTTGTTGAATAAATAAATGAATGTTATTTTATTTTTTACTAATTCATAAGGCAAGTCCTGTTGTAATACAAAGGGAACAGAATAAAAGCATTAAACAGCTCAGCAGGGATCTGATCACCCACACACACAAATTTTACTCAGCATCTGCTATGCACTAATGAAGACATCACACATTGGTAATATGAGCAAAAGCTATATGGTCTCCCCCCAAGGGTTTGAGGAAAGATGAATTACAGCCATCATCAAGAGCTGTCAGGGAGACTGCCACACGCTTCTGCTAGAAACAGCTCACTGGCTAGCTACGCACCTGCACAGCTGTTAAGAGTGGCTGCACCACACCCCTCAGAAGTGAGCAGGTTTCACAGGAAAATTGTTTCTGGGGAAAAGAGGGGTAAGAAAGGAGAGAAGGAAAGGCTTCCCCGCAGAGGCCTGGGTTATGTGGGTGCCAAAGCTCCGTGAGGCAGGAGCTCTGCAACAGGTGTGCACGCAGAAGTGTGCGGATATGGCAAGTGGTCCGGCAACTATAGAAGACAGAGTGAGGTCAGATGGGAAGGGCCTTAGCCTTCCAAAACTAAGAGATTTGGATTTTATCTTCCGTAATAGGCAAGACATTTTATTTTAAAAAATATTTGTTTACAGAAAAGTAACTGGCAATATAAAAGAGACTAGAACAGAAAACAGAGACAAAAGAGAAGCTGTCCCTCAAAGAGATTTTAAAGAAGTAATGACCACCAGGAGCAGTGGGCGCACATGGTATCCCAGCACCGAGGGAGCTGAGGCAGGGAAATAATTAGGAGTTCGAAGCCAGAATGGACTGCACAGTAAGACCCTGTTTCAACAAAAAACAACAAAAAAGAGAACAACAAAAAAGGAGGGAACAGTAATAAAAGAAGGGCAATTCCAACACAGGATGAACAAGACTTAGTAACCAACTGGAATCAGACGAAAAGGAAAGAGAAAACACAAACACGACAAAGATGTCTAGTTAAGGAAGATGGGTACTCGGCAAAATCATTAAGATGGACACTATGGAGCCAGGCATGGTGTCACAAGCCTATAATCCCTGCTGTCTGGTACTAGATGGGAGCAGCGTTTGCAGGAATACCAAATGAATTCCACTTGACAGCTACCAACACTGGTGGGGACCCACACTTTCTGGATTCAGAGGAGCAGAACAGACAGCCTTGATCTGGGTCACACAGGCAAACTCGTCATTAGTCCTGCTCTGCCCAACCCGCCTGCCACCTGTTGCGGCCTTTCCTGCACACACGACAAAATCCTCTCCTTGGCATTCCACACCTGGGGCCTGGCCGATGCTCTGCTCCCCAAACCCTCCCCAAGCCCCGCCCAGCCCCGCATGAGCTCAAGCTCTGGAGGCTCCCCAGTCTTCCTCCTTCCAAACAGATACACACTGAAACTAAATGCAAGCACTTTCAGGCTAACCCTTTTTGTCTAACTCCAACAAATGAACACGAAGGCTCACGTGGTGGCTCACACTATCACTCAGGAAGCTGATGTAGGTGGACTGTATATCTGTGGCCAGCCTGGGCTACACAGCGAGGTCCAGGCCAGTCTGGACTACAAATATTGAAAAAAAAAAAAAAAAAAAGAGAGAGAGAACAAATCATGACTCCCAATCATGACTACCGCCTTGGGACTGCCAAGACGGTAGCTTAGTGGTAGAAAGAATGCTGAGCATGCATGGGGCTCTGGTTCAATCCCCAGCATCCCTTCCCAAGCAAACTGATTATCATGTAACTCTAGGTCAAAATTTAACAGTAAAACAAAACGACTTCAAACATGAGTGACATGCCACGTGTGGTGGCCTACACCTGTAGTCCTAGCAGACTGAAAGGAAGTAGAAGGACAACGCAAGTGACCCTAACTTGGGCAACTAAGCAAGTCCTGTCTAAAAGTTAAAAAAAGAAAAAAAAAGAAAAGGTAAAGGACAAGGAACGCAGCTCAGTGTTATCTTAGGTTCAATCCCAGCACCACCAGAAAAACAACAGATAGTGAAGGTTGCTAAGTATATAGAATACAGTATCTTTCCTATTCTGCTGTCAAAATATCGGAGAAAAGCGCAGTTACATACAAAAACATATTTTCGTCTGAAAAGTTGCAACGTGTCATCACAAGGGGCAAAACTATAAAAGCATTGAATAGGAAAGTATAGCTGTGTTTCACTAACAAGTAATATATTCAAGATATCAGAGGCAAGCGTTACCAAATCTTTTAATTATGAGCAATTGCAAGCGTTACAAAAACAGAAGGAAGCCTAACAAGAACTATTTGTCTTGACTGTTTTAACTCTGTCAAAGTAGAAGAAAGTGATCCAAAGTCAGATCTGCTCCCAAACTGAGGACAAAAGTAAGGGGCAGAGACAGACGGATGAAGCAAAAGGAAACTACTCGACAATTTCAGTCTACTTTGAGGTAAACCGTCTTCAAAGAGAGGAATCAGAATTCTTCCCCTTTCATCACCGGGGTTCCTGGGGTACAGAAGGCAAAAAGAGGAGTACAAAGAAAATGAGCAAAGTGGGTCCTGGGTCATCTGGTGTCTCTCGGAGGCAGGCTATGGGAACCAAATGGGCGCCCCCAGGGTCCCGTGAGCCACGCACACGCACTCGCACACACCGCCAGCTGTTACCTTCCGCTTCCTCCGTGCCCTCCATCAGCATATCCTTGGTGAAGTTGGAGATCTGGCCCGTGATGGAAGCCAGGCTGCCCCCCACTTGACCCAGCGACTGGCCCAAGCCGGAGCCGAAGCCCCCGAGCCACGACGACATCGCTGCGGGTTTCGAGAACCACCCAGTCAGTCAGCTCGGAGAAGAGCGCCCAGCGCGGCCGGATCACCCTGCCGACCGCTCTGGGCCGCTGCGGACCGAGTCCTCGTCCCCGAGCTCCGGCTTGGAATCGCACCGTCGAGGCCCGACCCGGCGCTCTACCCGCGTCTCGTCTCCAGCGCTGCAGTCACGGGCGCGGGGCCTGTGCTCATCCTCACGACCTCCCGCCCCGCGGCTGGCCACTTCTCCTAGGCTTCAGTGACTTTCCGCAGTTCCGCCGCTCCGAGGGCTGTCCCTGCCTACTCAACGCTCGCCGCCATGACACCTACGTGAAAAGCGGCCGCAGATCATAGAGACGCGCTGCGGTGGGCTAGAAGCGCCCTGCGAAGCGGTCGGACCTGTCAGCGGCGCAAAGGAGGTCGGGATCGCGGAGGACCGAGGGGGCCGCGGGCGGGCGGGCGGGCGTCGTGCTCCACGTAGCCAGCTGGACTTGGCCGCGCCGCGGGACTTGTTGCCGGAAGAACGCTTGGCCCCGCGGCGACCCTGGGTGACAGCCGCCTGGAGCCGGGGTGCCCCTGCGAACCCTCACTGCGTTGTTGAAACTGCGTATTTTAATCCGCACTGCGCTCGCGAGGGCCGTAGTGCAGAACTTGGCCGTGTCGGTCGTTCATGGGCAGGGAGGGACCTCAGAGGACCCGCGCTGCTGTATTCATGCCTCCGCGGAGCTGCGCTGGCCAGGCGCGATTGCAGCGGCAGGAACTGGGCTACGAAGAGACCAAGTGGAAGCGTCTGGGCAGGAAACACTGTTCCTGATCACCTTCCGGTGGTTGTTCTATTCTAAATGGAAACTGTGCCTACTTGAACTCACGTACGTTGAGTGTTGTTCCTGAAGCAGACGTGCCGGGGAAGTAATGAAGACAAAGTGATCTATTACAGACCAGTAGGTTGGTTTAATGCAGAAGTTCCAAAGTAAACATTCCTGTTAGCTAGGCGTGGTGGCGCACACCTGCTAGCACTCGTGGAGGCTAGGCAGGCAGGCTGGGCAATTTATGGAGACTTTAAAGCCATAAAAGTTGAAACCTTTAAAACAAAAACAAAATCCACTCCAGTCATATGCGGTGTCAGTGCCCCCACCTCCCTCAGCCCACCCACAGGCTTTCCACACGCCTGACGGTCCTTCGATCTGTCTTAAAGGAAGAAAGTCGTCACGGGTCACGTGAGTTTCAAGCAAAGGTCCGTACTCACCTAGCACCTCCCCAAGGAAACTGCCACGTTTTTATTTTGACAAAGATCCGATAGGTCAGGTTTTTTCAGCACAGCACTAAACATGCTGACATCTTTCTCTTTGGATTTTATCCACAGGATGGGCCCTGTTAGACCAACATTAGGAATGCCTTTAAGTGTTAGAATCTCGTGCCATCGGGCACTGATAGTTCTCCGTGAAACCTGAGTGGTTTCAAAACAAAATTTGCAAGCTGAGTGTGGTGATGCACACCTATAATCCCAGCCAGCACTGAGACAGGTGGGTTGGCCTGAGTTCGAGGCCAGCCTGGGCTGCCTAGTGAGTTCAAGGACACCCTGAAATGCATGGCAAGACCCTGTCTCAAAAAAAAAAAAAAAACACCTTGCATCTCATTCTGTAAGTGCTTATTAAATGCTGTTAATTTATGCAAGAAGACATTATAGCCCAAGAGCTATTTGTACAGCTTTGGAGGCTGCCTGGGTCTATCATTTATTAGCTGTGTGACCTTCAGGAGGTATTTTCACCTCTGTGTTCATCCGTTTGTGATTTATAAAAATGGAGAATGATAATAAAGGTACTTACTGGAGCTTAAGTAATATGTCTCCTTTTCCTTTAGTACCAGGCATCAAACTCAGGACCCTGCCCTTGTCGGGCAGGTGCTTATGCCACTGTACTGTTTCCCTGGCCCAGCAATATTTCCAAGAGCTTGGCTCAGTGCCCAGAATATAATGATTTCTATTCAAGTGTTTCTGAAGTTTTTTAAATGTTCCATACAAATCATCAGCCAGTTATCATTGTGTCTGCTATTACTCTGGGAAGTGGGAATACAGCAGGAGGAAAGAAAAACAAACACTAAAGTCCTTGGCTTCAAGACGCTTGAGTCCCACTGGGAAGCCACAGATAATAAGATGCAATAAATGTTAGGTGGTGATGACAATGGTGTGGAATGGGGAATAAAACAAGGTAGGGATGATATGGGAAGGATGTGGGAAGAGGAGCTACTTGCACGTGCAGGGTAATCAGTGAAGAACTCATTGATAAGGCAGTCTTATCAGAGACTGAAAGAAGAGTAAAATACACAGATGTGACAAAGAGCAGTTCAGGTGGAAAGAAACTGACACCAAGGCCCTAGGATGGGGACAGGAGTACTCTCGTCAGATTAGAAAATTTGCAGGAAACCAAGGATGGATGGAAGAGAATGGGGGGGTTGTAGGCAGGGTGGACCCAAAAAGGAGTGGAGGAGCAGATCACAGAACGCCTGTAGGTCTCCCTTAGCTCACAGTAGGATGGCAAATGACAAGCATTTAGGGCCTACTGGGGCTCCTAATTGGATAACTGTGGAAGTTTAGCTATTGTAATTGAGTTCAGATTTCATTTCATTTCCATGCATTCATGTTATGTCATAAAAATACTGTCACTAATGAGAAAACCACAAACATATTTATAAATCATTTAAGTAATTAGTGCAAAAAAATTTTATCTGAGGATATATCCCAGTGGTATGGGACCAAGTTTAATTCCCCAGTACTGAAAATTTTTCAACATGGCCTGCGACATGGCTCAGTGGCAGGATGCAAGCTCAGCAGGGGCAAGGCCCTGGAATCACTGTCCCACCACCGAGAGAACTAGATTCTTTTAGAGTGCCAAAATAAAAACTGTAGAAGGCTGTGCTTATGTCTCCACTTTATTTCTATTCACTACCTGCTAAACCTCATTGGTTTTCTGTTCAAGGCAGTGAGCTAACTGAAGCATTCTGCTGGCTGCTTTATCTGATATGGATAGTGGCACCCTGCCTTTGTATAGCTGTCCCAGAGCCCTTTGCAGGCACTGTCTCATCACTGTTCATTTTCTTAGCTCACAGAACAAGCACAGCTATGAACACCTCATGAAGTCCAGTTCACTAATGTGAACGTTTCGTGTGTCTCATGGCCGACCAGAGTACAAAGCCTTGATAACACAGTAGCTTCACTCTGAATATGGTTTTACTCATTGCAATGAGGTTTCTAAGGAATTAGGACCAAGCGCAACACATGGTAAGCGCACCAACTGCTGAAGGAATGAATGACCTAAGAGTTGCCTGTGAGACAGAAGAGTTGAGGTCCCCAGTATAGAGAGAACTCAACACTGGGAACTTCCTTGTGAGAACCGTGCAAAGCAATGATGGTAGCTCAATGTGCAAGTGCTCAGAGGACAGCATAACTAATAAAGTCTAGGAGCAGGGACAGGAAAAGGACAAAAGGAAAGGGAGTTTACAAACTGCCTGGAAGGGCAAAACGTACAATTTTGTTCATGTGTGAACATCAGAGTGTATTTACAGATCCTGACAGTATAAATCTATAGCAGACTTGAGTTATATGTTGATCCTACGGGACCGCTGTATTTGTCTACAGTGGTGAACCTTCCGCATGCGTGGTACAGTGAGCTGTTTGGCTCTTTGAAAGCTCAGAAAGGTTTACCACAGTGGTATACATGTCCATTAACATTATGAGACTCACCACTATTTTTTTTTTTTTTGGTGGTGGTACCAGGGAATCAAACTCAGGGCCTCGTGCCTGCCAGGCAAGCACTTATCCACTGCACAATCTCCCCTGCCCATAACTACTATTATTTGAACTCTGATGTTCAGAACTGGATAAAGTGAAGAAAACATTCTTAAAAATTGAGAGCTGGGCATTGTGGTACACACTGAAATCCTAGCACTCTGGGAGGTTGGGGCGTAAGAAACACAAATTCAAGCCCTGCTTTAGCAAACACAGCACCTTTGTAAGACCCCATCTGAAAACTTTAAAAACATCTTTTAAAAAGGTTTGGGGGTATATAGCTCAGTGTGAATGCCCTTGGTTTAATCCCCAGTATTTCAAAACAAAACACAAAATGCTGTCTTAGCTGCCTGCATGAGGCCAAGCTGGTGAGACTATTCAAGAAAAGTTACCGATGTGCTTTGGTTTTCAAAGCTAAAAAAAAAACTGAGAAAACATTTATAAATCAAAATTTCAAAAAGACTGTGGAATCCATGGCTTCTGTTCATCACAGAGCCTTTGGCAGGATACCAGCCTCTGCTCTGTCTGGCTGAGCTGGGTGCCCACACCTCAAGACGGGGCTGCTCCAACCTGCCCTGGGGTCTGGCTCAGCAGGGCTGAGTGTGACCTAACTCTTCTTTTAGAAGCTCTTTGATCCTACACATGTGGCGGGCCCCCATCCTTGGAACAGGTTGGCTATGAATTAACACACACCAAAAAATAGGAAGTAAAAAAGCAAACATTCTCTCTTTATTTAATAGTCTTTGATATTTAAAATACAACTCATCGAACATCCACATCAACAACAGAATCCTCAGCCTTCACCAGTGTGTTGGAAGCCCAGCTTTCGGAGGATGAGACGCGAAGGCCTGTGTGTGGTAACGGCGAGGGCTGCAGGCTTGGGTCCTGAGCAAAGAGCACTGCCACAGCGCACATGGGTCATGGCCAAAAGACAAGGCCTTTACTTTCATATGTTTTTGTACATGAATTTCAAAAATTTTATACAGAACAGTAATTTTTAAAAAGTTACTCCTAGTAGTCTAGTGATGTAGAAATTAGATAATTATAATCCAAATTCAAGTTTTTCTCTTTTGAAAAAGAAAAATAAAAGCATTAAAAAATTCCAGGAAACATTTACCTTTGAACTATGTAAGAGACAACAGAACGTTTCCTAAACAAATCAAGAATCTCCACAAATATTTTGCTAATGCTTTCCATTGCTTTGTCTACATTTCCAGTCTAAAAAGAACACTGGTACACTATATTAAACACACTAATTGACATACATTTAGAAGTTAAATTAGTATTAATTCTTAAAATGCCAGACTGTTTGGAAATAAAAACAGTAAAAGAATTCTTCAAATTAATCAAAATTTAAGAACTAACCATGTCACTGTATTTCCATTCATGAAATAGAACACATACAAGACTTTAAAAAAATACAAAGCCAGTTCATTTCTTTAGCAAAAGATGTTACTCATAAAGGGTCTAGGAATAAAGGCTTTTATTTTGAAAAAAAAAATATTTACATTGTTGAAACAGTTGATCCAATTTGGCTTTTCTTAATTAAGTTCACTATATAATTGCTCCATACTTGTTAGGTCTCAGATACAACAATTCATTTTGCAAATATTTGCCTAAGGCTTCTCCAACTGCAGATAAAGCTGTGGCTTTTGTTTTGTTTTGTTTGACCACCAATGAGCTATAGCCTCACTTGGAGGTCTCAATATTACTGAATAATTTAAAGCATCAAGATTTTGCAATGTATGATTTTAAATTACTGTATTTTGATTATGCAATGAAATAAATCTTTGGATTTGAAGTCCAGTGGGCCAGTCTTAAAAATTTTATAATTTGTCACTAGCATGATTTTAAAAACAGTACCAAACAAAAACATTCAGAATGTAACTTTAGCTCTGATTAGAATTCATTTTGTTCAACTTGATATTAAATGAAGCAATACAGACTACCAGTATTTTTTGCCTGTAACACTCAACTAGTTTTGAGCTTTTTCTTCATTAACTTTGGCAATATGAATAAAGCCTTAATTAAGAAAAATCAAGTTTTAAAACAAAAGCACCTTCTTAAACAAAACTATTCCATGAACTATAAATTATTTGGCCAAGATCTTAGAATTTAATATAGTTTACCTGCAGCAATCATGTCAAACAATTTACATTACTGAAATATTTGTATGTTAATTACTATAAAAAAGTACATTGTTTCAGATCAGAAGTTAACTCTGAATTTTTAAAACATAAATAACTACTTATTAAATCCATGATACCTGAAAATATGAAAGTGGTATTTCCAAAGTTTTCTTAAACTTTACTTGTAACACTAGTATCACCACTGTACATATTTTATCCTGGTAATACAAATTATACATTAGAAAAATGATACTGTTAGTTTAAATATTAAACATTAAAGTGTTCCCGATTGGTAAAACAAAATGGAAATCTTTATAAAGTTTTTAGCAGGACAGTTATCATGAATTTACTTCTTCCTGACTTTCTTGCAGGTGACTGATGTATAGCAAATAGTAGTTTCTGATATATGAATTACAGCTTTGTAAAACTTAAAGTTCTTTATAGTACGCTTGTAAGCATTAGCATCTTTTCATACTGGCTAATCAAGCAAGAAAAGCAGTAACCCCGCACTGGGTAGGCTGAGGAAGGAGAATCACTGCTACCTCAAGGCCAGCCGGGGCTGCACAGTGAGTTCAAGGCCAGGCTAAACTACACAGCAAGGCCCTGTCTCAAAAAAAAGAAGAAAATGAAATGGAATCTACATGTTCAGACAAATGCAGGCCAATTCAAACAAGACGGCGGGTGAATGACGATCCTGGATCTGTCTGCTAAATGTAACAATTTCACAACAAACTAAACACAATCAAACATATCCAGTGTGTGCGCAGCTCTGCTGTAAAAAGTCCCCAACATATGGTGGCCAACATGCCGTATTTTCTTAAGTGCTTTAGCCAAGGTGCATAATATATGAACTTTATAAACTCTAAATTTAAAACTTTAAGCACATACTGGTTTTCTTATATCTTAGGTAGTTCATCAGTTCAAGTGTATGAAAAGTTTAATGTAGTTAGTCAGTGGGAAAAGGTAGACCAAATATTCTTGGAAAAATATGATTAGAACACCGGAGATAATTGCATAAGTATTCAGTCTTAAAATAGTTGGCTTTGTAAATTTTGAGGAAGAATTCTTAAACTCTCAATAGATTAATCTTGCAGTTCTAAAGTTTTATAATTCTTCTGAAACATTTTGAATTCTTAACAGAAAACTTCAAACTTTAAAATAAAGTTAATTTGTATAAGAGACATTTTAGAAAACTAATTGGCACAAAATATAATGACTTCAAAATTCTGTCAGGCATGGGAGCCATGCCCGTAATCCAGCACTGAGGCTAATGCAGGAGGATCACTGTGAGTTCAAGGCTAACCTGGAGTACACAGTGAGTTCAAAGCCAGCCTGAACTACATAGCAAGGCCTTGTATATACATATTTATATATAAAGTTCTATCTAAGAAAAAGCTATCTCATAATAATAAATAAAAATACTTTAATCTTTTTTCAGTTAACATTAAATCCTAGGTCAAAACTTTCCCTGGGGGGCCCGCCCATTAGCTCAGTTGTTTAACTGCCTGCTTAAAGGAGGCAGTCAATTTCTTTGAGCTGTGGTTCCATTCCCACATACTCAAGGCAACCCAGACCAGCGCTGCTGCAGGTCAATGGGGAGCTACAAAAAAAAAAAAAAAAAAAACACCTTTCCCTGATAAAATGTGTGTAGCTAAAAGCAGAAGGGTAATATACCACACTTTACTTTTCTTAAATTGTTGCCTAAAATTTCTTCTTGAAGTTTAGCTCATGAAGAAGTCAATATTCAGAAGGGCTTTAAAAGGGGATGAGGAGCAAGTAATAGAATCTAAGCTGCCCACTTCAGAGTCACGGTTCATTTTCACCAAAATCATACTACTGGTACATTGACTAAGCAAGAAACTGCACTTCAGTTAAGGAATGTTTATCAAAACTAAAGACTTTTTTTCTCTTTTTCTGAGACAGGGTCTTACTATGTGGTTCAGGCCGGCATGGACTCACTACGTAGCCCAGGCTGGCCTGGACTCACTACGTAGCCCAGGCTGGCCTGGAACTCGTAGCAATCCTTCCACCTCAGGCTCCCAAGTGCTGGGATTTCAGACCCAATAACTACTGTGACTTCTCTAACCCTTAAGCTATTTAAACATGATGCAACTGTCAAATAATAGTATACATTTAAACATATTTTTATCAGTACATTATTTCCATGTTCCTAATCATAATTCCCGACAAACTATACCTACTAGAAAATGTGAAGTGATGTTTACAATCCATGACCATTGTAAATTGAACACAAAGCTCCAGTCACAAAAGAAAATAAAATGAAACTACTACTAAAATTGAAGGCCAAAATGCATTTATCATACATTCATGGTGGGTATATATGTCAAAAATTTCTAGCAGCAGGAAATCTGCTTGTATATTAAACTTCCCCTACTTTTCTCAGCTCAGGAAGAAATAATAAGGCGCAGGAAAAACAGGGCTACAGCAAAGCTGTAAAGTTGTGACATAATTGAAAAGACATTCATAAAGCATTTGGGAAAACAAATGCTTATATACTTTTTAAAAATTCTCATTTATTCTCAAATATTTGTGCAAGAGCTGATTTCAGAGTTTAGAAATGGAGTGAAGTCTTGAAATAACGATCCCCTTGTACAGGGCTTTAAAAAAGCAAAACCTCGTAAAATGTTCTCTTTCAAAAGTACTGCAGAAAAATAATAAAAACCAGGTAGTAGAGAAATTGTGGCCTCAGAAAACAACACAAGCAAACCTCACTGCACGTGACACGCACAGCTGGGGGGTGGAGGGCTCATCCTTCCAGAACCATTATAATCATCAAGCCAGACAGCAGATAGTATCTTGCAAGGCTAATTTGGTTAGGGAGAAATAAAAGCAATTATTAGACACTGAAAGTGATCCAAATTACCTATAAAAGAAGAAAAAAATAAAAGCGCATGGAACAAGTTCTATGACAAGAGCTAATTAGGTGGTCTGCAAAATAAGCCAAGAAAAATGCCTCAGTTTTAACACATTAGATATTGCACATTCAAAAAAAAAAAAAAAAGAAAGAAAGAAAAGAAAAAGCAACATTTAGAAGACTATTTAAATCTCTTTAATTGCTGAATGCCTCTTTGGCTAGTTTTAGAGGATCATTATTCACTCCTACAACTGACAAATTTCTACTTTCGCTTGTTGTTTTCAAGCCCCCTGAATGTCTCCTCTGGTGAACAATGTTCTCTTTGATACATTACCAAAATGGACCCTATGCTGTAATCACAGAGGACAACGCTGGAAAGTATGAACAGGTACATGATTTTAAAAGATATTATTTTTTTGCCTCTGTTTTCAAATTATTTGTAACAGTTTCTAAAGACATAGTCACAGCTGCCTGAAGCATGTCTTCTTCACTCATAGAATCACCTGTTGGGGGAAAAAAAAAAAAACATATTTCTTATAAATTTCTGGAAAACTCTCTATCATCAAAAGGAAAAACACACAGGAAATATACTTGTAGTTGGAACACTAGCTTTCATTTTTTTTTTAATAAGAAATTTATTTATTCATTGGCACAGGGTCTCGTTACCCAGTTCAGACTCGTAGTGATCCTCCTCTCTCAGCCTCCCAGCACTGGGATTACAGGTGTGCACCACCATGCCTGGTTTTGGGCTGGCACGGTGTGTCTGGGGCTCCGGGGTCAGCACGACATGTGATAGTGGGTATCGAAATTGGAATGCTGTGCTTGTCAGGCAGGTGCTTAGACCACCAAGCTATCTCCCCAGCCCCATAACTTTCATTTTTAAATGTTCTTTTAAATTCATCTAAAGTAAAATTTACTCTTCTATAGTTTTATAATTTTGATAAATGCAGAGTTGTATAATCAATAAAATCAAGACAGTGGGAACAAAAACCCCATGAACCACTGATAATGCTCTTCTGTTATATAGTTTTTCCTTTTCCTACAAGTCCTATAAATGGAATCTTATAGTAATAAGTATGTAGCCTTCTGAATGTGAATCCTTTCACTTAGCAAAATACATGTGAAGTTACGTTTACTGACAATTTATACTATGTAGCCAAGTGTGGTGGCACAAGCCTATAATGCTAGCACTTGGAAGGTTGAGGTAGGAGGATTGCTGCAAGTTCCAAGCCAACCTGGGATACAAGGTGAGTTCAAGGCCAGTCTGAACTGCATAGCAAAATCCTATCTCAAAAACAAAACAATTTATACTATTTAGAAAGTTTTGTATTTTGATATAATTGTCAATTCACATGCAGTTACAAAGATAAGAATGTTCCTTTCCACCCAGTTTCACTCAAACTTACAGGTACTTCATTCAATAATTATGTTTTACATTACTGAAGCTCAAGAGCAAACCCATACACTAGGACTGGCTCACAAGGCCGTGTGTGCTCCTATATGGCATTTTAGCAGCAGGTATATTCGTGTAGCCACCACCATAACCAAGAAGCAGAGCCGGAGGGCTTGGGGAAGCGCAGCTCAGAGGGAGGGCACCTGGCTAGCAGGCACGAAAGCTGAGGCGCGCTCCCCAGCACTGCAAACCCAACAGGAACACACACATTCAACTCACAGTACCACGAAGACCCCACCTGCTCTCGCATTACGGACACACCACTCTTTGCACTCACTTTCTCTAATTGCTGGCAACTACCCATCATGCTCCATCACCACACATTTGGTATTTTCAGGATGTGACAAGCAGCTTAAGACCTTCTCCAACCTGCGCATGACAGCCCCGCAATGCACCCAAGTTGCCGCATGCGTCAGCAATGTGAGCTCATGTTGAACCTCGAGAGGACTGCATAGAATGCATGTACCACAGTTCACCTAGCCATTCTCCTACAGCAGGACATCTCAGTTGTTCCCAGTTTTTTATTATGATAATGTGGCTATAAACATTTTTACTTCTCTGGGATAAACACCCAGAAATGTAAATACTGAGTCATATGACATATATTAAATTTTTTATAAGAAACAGCCAAAACTGTTCCCAAAATGACTATACTAGTTCAAACGAAATGCAGAACCGGCACAGTGGTGCATGCCGCGGTCCCCGTGATCCAGCAGGCTGAGAGCGAGGCAAAGCAGCCTGAGAAACAGAGCAAGGGCTCATCTCAAAGAAAAAACGCCATGTAGAAAGTTCACTGCCCTCGTTTACTACAGGGTTACCTTCAAGAATGCCCACATACACACTGAAAACCAATCAGTGATTAACATTCTTTCTGCAATCAGCAAACCTAATTTGGAAAATTCAAAGAGAAACTGTGTTTACCTACATTTTATTGTGTCTACTGTTCTTTCTTCCTTCTCAATATATCAAAATTAATTCTTTTATCATTTCTTTTCTATTTAGAAGAAAGATATCCTGTAGCCATCCTTTCAAGATAGGTCTGCTAGAGACAAATGCTCTTCAATGTCCCTTCACTCCTGAAGGATACTTCCCTGGACACATAACCTCACATGTAGACCCCCTCTTTCAGCACTTGAAAAACACCGTTCACTTATTTTCTGTCTTCCACGACTTCTCATGAGAAATCCGCTATCATTCAAATTGCTGTAGGGAAGATAATTTGTTGCGGATTTTCAGATTGATGAGCCTGGGTATGGATTTCTTCAGTATTTTCCTACTTGAAGTGCATTCAGCTTCTTCAATTCCACCATTTCTATCTTTTGTCAAATTTTTAATGACTATTTCCTTAAAAAGGCTTTCAGCCAACTGTCTTTCTCACCTCAGAGGTTCCCATTACACAAATATTAGAATTTGTTATGACACAGGATCTAAGGCTATGTTTGCTTCTTCCACTCTATTTTCTATTTCTTATAATGAGTAATTTCTTTTTTTTTTATTTTAGGGAAGGTCTACAGGGCGTTCAGGGTCTCACTACTAGATTGGACTCACAGTGATCCGCCTGTTTACAGTCTCCCAAGAGCTGGGATTACAGGTGCGCGCCACCACGCCCAGTCTCAATCACCACCTCAGGGCGCCCCAGGGGTGGAGCCAGCACAGCAGGCCCAGGGATTGAACCCTAGCCCCTGTGCCTGCTTGCAGGCGCTTTAATCTGCTGAGCTAATTGGCCGGCCCTCTATAATGAATAATTTCTATTGTTCTTTCTTCAAGCTCACTGACTTTTATGTCTTATCTTTTCCATTTTGCTAAGTCTATTCACTGGTTTTCTTGTTGTTGCCGTTCACCAAATTTTAAACTACAATTACTGCTATTTTTCAGCTCTGAAACATCCACCATGTGGTTCTTCATACATTCAATTTCTCTGCTAAGGCTATTTTTCCAGTTGCATCAAGCATGTTTACTGAAAATACTTGCTGAAGCACTTTCATGATGGCCACTTTGAAAATCCACACCACACAACACTATCAGTGCCACCCAGGTGTTGGCGTCTACTGACTGTTTTTTCTCATCCAAGTTGAAATTTTCCTGGTTCCTCATATGACAACAATTTTCTACTGACTCCTGGCTTGGGAGACTATGAGACTTGGGACCTTAAGTCTTCTGTTTCAGTAAGCCCCTTCTGTCACAGCACTGGTGGGAAAAGGGATACCACCCTGCCACTGCCAGACTGCAGTGGAAGTCCAGGGTCCCTCGGGCTCTGAGCACAGGGGCTGGGTGGTGACCCTTACTGTTGGGCACGGGGTGTTCTAGCTCCACACCACTCCTCTACTCATGTCTTTCGGACTGGAGGGAAAAGCCCTTCATTCCCCATGCAGCTCCAAGCCACTGCAGGGTGGTTCACTGCTGCTGGGTATCGCTGCCAGTCCTGCTTCTCTACCACTTCTCTGACACTACCCATGCTGGGAGCCAGACGGAAGCCTATTATCCTCAGGTGGAAGTTCAGGCTCCCTGGGGACCATGATGCCATGAAAGAAGGAAGCCAGTACTTCCTCGGGGGGGACTGAAGGTCTTAGCTTCCCATTCCGCTTTCTCTAACAGCACCCTGTCAAGGCAAGGAAAGAGATGCACCTTCCTGTTGGAATATAAATTTATGTTCCCATGATTTGCTGCTGGTGAGAAGCATGGTGGGGGCAGTTTATCCTACGGCTCCTAACTGGCATGTTCATTATTTTCGATGAGATCGGGCATGTTCAGCGTGGTATGGCCACAGACACTGTCCGTTATTTTCAAGTCTCTGTCTTGCGAGGCAACACCTTTTGCCTGTACACAAGCTTTACCCCTGCTTTTCTGTAGTGCGTGTGCTTTCCTCTTGGTCTGCATCTGTGGATTTTTCAGAGCCGAGACCAAAAAATGTAAGGGAAAAAGAAAATTCACTGTCATTTCACACCTCTGGTCCTGAGATCCCTAGCCAACCTATCTTCCCTTTACCTTTGAGATTCTTGTTATACTTCTTTTTAAATTTCGTTTTCTATTTATTTATTGGATACAGGGTCTCACTATGCAGTTCAGACTCTGGTGATCCTCCTGTCTCAGTCTCCATAGGCATTGCAGGGGTGCACCACCACGCCCAATTTTGGGGCCAGCACAGAATAAGGTACCGGGGATCAAACTTGGGCTTTGTGTTTGCCAGGCAGGCATTTAGAACACTGAGCTATCTCCCCAGCCCTATGCTTATTTTCATAATGGGGATTTTGGCTGTGCTTTGAGGAAGAACAAAAAAAAGTACTAGTTTATTCCTTTTAGTATTCAATTATTTTGATATAGTGCCAGTTTGCAAATCTATTTACTAAATAAAGTAAGGGCAACATGTATGCAGTTTACAGTTTCAGGCAATTATGAGGAAAACTGCTTAAGCTCTTATGTATGTTTGTATTCCGTTTCCGTTTCTCTTGGTCATACACCTAGGGTGGGACTCCTGCCATGATTAAGCATATATTAATGCATATAAGTTTATTTTTTTAAAAAAAGGCCAAACTGGGCTGGGTAGATAGCTCAGCAGTCTAAGTGCCTGCCTAGCAAGCACAAGGACCTGGGTTCGATCTCCAATACCACATGCCAAGCTATCTCTGTGCCGCAACGGATACTGAAACACTGGGCATGGTGGTGCATGTCTGTAATCCCAGTGCTGGGGAGGCTGACACAGGAGGATCACTGTGAGTCCTAGCTATGTAATGAGATCCTGTACCAAAAAAAAAAAAAAAACAAAACCCTAAAAAAAAGGCCAAACTGTTTCCCAAAGTTGCTATACCACTCTGCATTCCCATTACAGTGTCTGAGAGTTCCAGAGGCTCTGATATTTGTCAGTACTTGGCAGTGTCTATTTCTTCATAGACTCTATCATACAGAAGCGTCACAGTGGCCACTGTGATTTTAATGACTAGTGATGCTAAACATCTCTTCATCTCCCTATTTGTTATCCCCCATGGCAGTTAACTGATTGTGTCAACTTGAGTAAGAATGGCATAGTTATGGGTGTAGCTGAAGGGATCTGCTGAAGACAGAAGACCTGTGCTAGGTGCTCGTTGCCTGAGGGGTATGAGGGAAAGGAAGAAGGCAAGCTCATTTCTGTGTCATCAGAGGAGCTCCCGTCTCCTTTCACTGTAGACGTGGTCTCCTGGCTTGCAGCACAGACTCTTCAGTGTCCACCACACCGCTTTGGCCTCCTGACACAGACCCTCATGGGACACTCCAATGAACTGCTGGCCTTGAACAGGACTCTGGATCTCCAGGGCACAAACTGACCTTTTGTACGGTCTTAGCCTTTCATTTTGCTACTGAGTCTATTCCTTAAGTTTTTTTTTTTTTTTTTTT